TAAATGTTTTCCCATTTTTTGTGTTGATTTTAAATACCCCCCCCCCCCCCCCCCTCCTTTCTTAAAAACATAAATTATTTCAATTTGGTGCTGGACTACATGAATTCTGTGGATTCCTTGGATTTATGTTCCAGTCCAATCAAGAAACTGTTGGGTTTGGGCTCTTCATCCTGTGACTACTTCTAAAAAAAAACAAAAAACAAACAAAAACAAACAAACAAACAAAAAAACAACCCACACTGCTCCAAAAGTAATGCCTCCAATTTTATTATGTTGTTGTGCCAAGACGTCAGAGGTGGATGTTGTTGGTATGGAAGTAGAGGCTGAACCATCTCAGCAACATACCATGCCATTTTGCTGCCGTTGACAGATAGCAGTAGAGGAGCAGTCTGACAAAAGGGCGGCTGATGTGATGTGTGGTGTGAGGTACCAGGTACGGATTACATTCTTACGTCTGAAACCAACATCACGTAGAATAACTGCAGCTATTAGTGAAAAATAGCAATACCCTATATTGAATTGCAATCATAGTTCAAAAGATACAGGTGAATATTCAGAAATAAACCTAATTATGTTAGGAAAAGAAAAAAGGATCGCATTTCCTAGTATCAAAGATATAACATACTAAGCAAAACTAAAATAGAAAGTGATAAAACTATGAAAGTAAAAGAAGCACGTAACAATAGGTACAAATAATTCATTGCGTTTTTCAAAAGGCATGCAGCCATAATGGTAGACAAACCAAGCGTGTGTTCTTTTCTTTGTTGTATTTTCGGTCATTCTAATCAGCTTTAAACATTCTAGATTTTTATTTTCTCTCATGTTAAAAAGAATTATTATTATTATTCTCTAATATTAAAAGTAAGTCGTAAGCGTGAATGACCCCTACACTTTTCAGCTATTTTCTTTGAGTACCCAAGAGCTAACAAGTGATGTTTTCAAAACGAATCTTAACAACTTGGAAATTTCTGAATAGCAGTAAGGAAACATGTAAATAAAACATGCTGAATGTGACTTTACAGGCGTATTATACAGACCTGATTCCAGCAGTGAACATTGTTTTTATTGCATAGAATTACAGTGAATGCTTTAGTTCTTACAAAGAGAATGCTCACTCACTCTTTGTAGTATGGACTAAAAGATGTCCAGTTAGCATCAGCGTAACGCTGTCTAATTGAATTTGCATTGATCAGTAACTTACCTGTATCTGTGTTCCTTCTGGTTTGTGACCTTGCTCGTGCCTCGGTTGCTTTTAAGAAGTGCATAAATGTTTCATCCAGCAGTATGCAAAATTATATACTATATGCTTTCCCCATGCTCTAGGTAATGTTTTGTTGTTGTTGTTGTTGGTTTTTTTTTTTCTGGAACCTAATGGCGCATTCCCAAAAAGTGTAATTCGTTATTTATCAAAGTATTTCAGGGCTACATTGAGAAGGAAAATATTCTGCGTGTATCTTTCTTAATAACCTGGCCTGTTCTAAGAGTTTCTTTGTTTTTTTTGGTTTATAGTTTCCATGTCCTCTGGGAAAAAAGAGGAATCTATTATTATCATGTGATTTTCAACACGAGAAACTTTTAGTAACTGGCAGGGAAATGATCTACTGGCAGTTGTTTCTTAAAATGTTTTTATAACTGATGAGTTTGTAGACTCAAATGTGATAGGCCTATGTTCCATCTCATTATATGTTGTCTTTTTTAGTATGCTTTGCATGTAATTTAAAGCTTACTATTTGACAAATTCAGTCTAATATTGAAAAATGATTGGTATGAAGGGGCATTGTCAAAATAAAGTTTTTCTGCCCAAGTATTGGGAAACAGTGAGAGGGTACAGGATTATTTGTATTGAAGTCTGATAAAATTTGACTATTGTTAATTGTTGGTACAAATGGAAGTGTCTGTGGCAGAGTGGTACTACAATGGGGTTGAATGGTAGCATAGAACTAAGCAGGAGGCCTGTGTTCAACAATATTTATATTGTAGGTGTACACCTTTTCCAGTTCCTAATTATACTATTTATTACCCACGTTTCAGTATGCTTTTGCAACAATTTGGAATTTGGCCAACTGACTAGCTAACTAGGCAACTTGAATTTGAATTCTCTGTTCAGTAGTTCCCCATTAGGCTGGTGGGATTTTTTTATCCTGTAAAGATAGGTAGTATGGTTTGTCATTTCCCAGCTCTGGAACCTTGGCTGTTCTCCATTAGTTCTGAAGAAAAACAACCAGTGGCTCCAATACTATTTCTGCAAGTTCCATTTGCTCGGTGGGATGAACTCCGTCTGATTTCTGTGAATTTTCTTTCATTGCAGTGACAGTGTTGCTCATTAAAAAGTCAGTTACTGTGTCGCTTAAGGAAGCCCTGATAAATCTATTCTATCAGATATTTTAGACAGAAGGCTGAGAATGTGTGTATTGGCATCTGGATGGCAAGTGAGAGCCGGATTTATGATGGACAGCCGAACTGCTGTAGTGGTTCTAGGGGATAGAAATGTAAAACATCACAATACCAACAGGTGAATTGATGAGTTCATCTGACACGGATCAATTATCTTCATACACAAGAAACAAATAGTCTTATTTAAAACCGGAATAGTAACAGAAAATCTAGTTTTAGGATGCTGTTGTTTAAAAGGAAAGGTCTACTTGATTATAAACCTGAGCCTTCCCTAGTATATCTGCTTGATTAGTCCTGCAGCTTATGTTCAAGTCAAGTTTTAATGAACTTTACTATCCTTTCTCCTTGTCATGAGTTCTGGAGGTTTAATTATGGTACCATAGATCAATGATCCTTGCATTTATTTTTGTACACTATATCACTCAATGACATAAGTCTGAAAAGCTTTTTTAGCAGTTTTGCCCTTCAACTGTAAACTGTGATTCTGTACTTCTTCATTAATGATCTTGGAGTGCTTACATAACTCCTTAAGAGAAAATATTAAATGTAAAGTAGTTCCATTAATTTAAGAACAGGGACATTCTATTTAGACTCCCCTTTTCCTTGCTCAAGGAGTACAGCGTTTTTCATTTTGATAAATGATTTGCCTTGTTATAACTTTTTAAACTAATGGATATAGAAAAAAGATGTTAAATAAAAATGGTATGACAAAAAAATGTGACATTCACTTTATTTTACATGGAAACGAACGTAACACAACGTGATTTTATTGAACTGTAACAGGAAAACATGGAAAGTTCAGTGCTGAGTGGGCCTTGAAATTTACTGTAATATAGACCCCTTCACGTACAGATGGAGTTTCAGATGTGACCCAAATGGTTAATAACCAGGACTGTTAACAGTACCATACTATAAGACTTTTGGCTCATTGCACTCTTCTGAAGGATATGAAAGGTACTCTAACTGTGAATGTCAGTATCTGCATCCTGGAAAAAAGTTGCATTTGGTGTTAACCAGAAGGAAAAGTAACTTCTCCTCCATAGTCAAACAAGCTTCTAAAGAGGCTATTCTAATTGCTGCTACAAAAACAACAGCAACAAAAAAAAAAAAAAAATCAGAAATCTGCATTGTTTTAGCTGCTCCTGCAGCCAGGAACCAGGCTACAGTTTCCAAGAAAGTGAGCCCTCCATACGTGAGCTCCTTTATCTCCTGAGGACTCATATCTCCTGAATGCAGTGTTCAGTACATGCACAAGACACTCTTGTAGAATTGAACCTTTTCAAGTCAGAATTGTTCCACTTTTTCAAATGTATGATGTTCAGCTGTTGTTGAGGATTCATGTCAAAAAAGAGATAAGAATCTCTGAAATGTTATTTCTTTCTGTTTTTTACTAGGGCACTGTTAGTAAGTATTGCTTTTTGCCATATAATTTTCTGGTCTAACTTAAGGTGTGCTACAGTTTGTGATCAATAAACATCTTCCATTAAGCTTTACATGCCTGTGAGAATTTTTGTTATGCTTATCACTGGGCTCTACTCAGAGCCGTATTATTTAGTTAGTGTCATAGAATATACATCTGTGTATTAAACTAGTTGATGTATTAGAACAATAGTTAATTGTATTTTTCCAAACTGGCATCTTTCTCCTGGCTTGTAATCATATCCTGTAGCTAATAAATCTGTGTACATCTCAATCTTTTTGTATTATGAAAGTCCACAGTTTCATGGTGGTATGTTCAAGGTAATAAAAAGAAATCTATTTATAGATGCTATTGTTGTGGGTGCCAATTGCATATAAGTATCAGGGAAAATATGTTGATCATTATCCTTTTTTCTGTTCTGCAGCTTCTGCTACTGCTGTAAGAAACATCAAAAAGCATCAGGCAGTTGAAATGGCTTTCACTATGTTTCCTCCTCTTGGTGCAAAAGTGAAGAATGTAATTACAGTGCCACTTCCATGGCTGCATCCTCTCATGGATGGAAGAGGTGGATCCAAGAAATCAGGTAAAAATTTCAGCCTCTCAGAAAGTTGTGAACGCAATGAAAGGCACAACAGTGTTGTATCTTCTGCATCACCAAGTAAAATCTCTGATTTTCAAGAGTTTGCAACACAAAATCTGCGAAGTAAGCAACGTGGCATAAGAATTTGTAACACTTTTTTCTGTGTATTAATGTTATAAAGAGAATGTTCTCTTGTTATGTTTTTGAAGGTTTAAATTCAGGCCAAAACTGATTTTCTGCTACTTTAGCCTTTGAAGGCAAACAAGGCAGGCAGGCATTCACTAGAAAATGAATCTAGATGCACGGAAAGAATTTATGACACCTATGTAAATGATGGGAGATGAAAATATTAGAGTGTATCTCTTTGGGTGTGCTAGTGGTAAGGCTACAGTGCACTGAAAAGTCTAAAGAGATATACTTAGAGTGCCTCAGAGCATGGTGCCACTGAGAAAGAAAGGGCCAATGAGGACAGCAAAAGTGGAAAAAAAAAAAAAAAAAAAAAAAAAACCCCACAGAACTAAGAGTTATATAGCAGGCTGTTTGGTTTTGGTTCTTTAATCTTGGAGTAAGGAGAGTTTGCTTCAAAACAAGCTTGGAGTCAGAGAAATCATCGGACTAAAGTTCAAAGTAGTAAATATACATGTTTCACACTTCTTCTGGCCTTTCCCCTTAGTTTTATTCGTAATAGAAGCCAAACTGTACGTTAGAAACCGAAGGCCAGGATCTTGTTGGTTCTTCCCGTGCATTCATGGGAATTTCCCATGGTATATTTAGATTCTGAACCCATTCCTAGACCCAAAGACAGCACTCTGTATGTTGCACAGATAAGTGGAATTTAAGAGCTCTGCAAGCTCTTAAAGCACAGTTTATTTTCAAAATGTGTATGTAAATCAGAAGATGGATGGAGAGAAGAAATAAGTGCAGTAGGAGAAGAATGTGAGCCACCCCTTGCCCAAAGTTCTGTGTTCTTGCACTGGAAAAGGAGCAGTGGTTTGGAATTAAAGCAGTCATCCTTGATGTTTTAACAAGACAGTGTCTTTCTCCTGTCACTTATCATAAGGTTCTCTATGACAACTCTGTGAAACTGCTGTGAAAAAACTGTTATTCAGTACAAAGCTAACAAATTAAAAAAAACTTTTAGATTTTCAAACCTCAAGTGGTAGGACCAACTAAACTAAGTCTGATTTTCTATCTGTATTTCTGTTTGTGTTTTCATAAGTAATAATTTATGACTCTAATAGCTGCAAGGCTTTGATTGAGAATGAAATATAGAAGGATTTTTTTTTTAATCTTTACAAGTATTTTTTAAGTCAAACCTACAAAAGCTTTTTCCCATTTCTGTTGTTTCATTAACACTTGAACTGGCATTGAAAAATGCTAATTATACTTTCTTTGAGCCCTATCCCTGTCTGCTATAAATGGTCATAAATTAATTGATTTTAATACAGAAAAGAGGGTTTAAACATGGAGACAGATGCCGTTTGTGTGAGAATTTCAAAGTCTGTCATGACCTGAAGTATTTAAATGTTCTCCTATTAGTCAATATTCTAGATAATGGCTTCTCTTTTCAAGTGCTCATTGAGTTCCTTGGTAGCATATTGCTTTTTCAGATTTTGATTATAATGCAGATGAAAATAGTAGCAGAGGCAAAAATAGATCTTTGAATGAGATTGTGATCTATATGCTAAGATCTACCTCTGCAGGGCTTTTTTACTCCATGACCAGAGTGCTGCATCTTCTTGAGTTACAACAGTTATTAAACTGGTTGGCAAGAGAGATGCAGTAGTTGCCTTGAGAAGAGATTAGTTTATTGAGGGAAGACTTTCTGCGTCTCAAAGACTCCTCTACCAATGAGTGCTTTAGTTCTGGATAGCATTGGAAATTTATTGGGTTTTACCATTAATGCTTATAAACACTGTAAGACTCATACACCCCTTTTAGTTACCGGGTCTGTTTCTGTGTCCTGAGATATGTCAAGCTCTTGGCAGGATACTGAGAAGCACTTCACCCACTTCCCAACTAAGCTGTACACAGGGCTTTTGCTCTCTGGATAAAATCTAATCTGAGAGAAATAATCCCTGAACTGTGATTGTATTAAATTCAAATAGAGAAGTTCCCATAGGCATATATTTATGCTATGTATGTAAATTGCAGATTCTAGTGCAGTGTACTGTGAACTTCTAATCTAAGTATAAAAATTCTACATATGCTTAAATAAGCAGAAATTAAGCTTTTTTAAACACTTTTTGAAATGCAATAGTTTTGTTCATGTCACTGACATAAACAGCATGTTTTTGTAACACTTCTGCACTTATATCAACTACTATTGCTCCTACATTTCCAGTAAGTAGTGTGCTAACATCTCTTTTAAGGATGAGTAATCTTTACTGTATTTTTTTAAGTGGAAAATGGAAGATAATACTCATTTCCCCTTGGAAAAATAGCTGTATAAAAATGCATCTTCCCACTCAATTTATTTGCCAGCTTTTGTATTCAGATTGCTTCACGGATTAAAAAGTCACGGCATCAAGGTTTAATTCAAATTCAATTTTATCACTGCACTAAGTTTTTCAAGCATTTCAGCTTTCCATATATCCCAACTGCAATGTATGAGAATAGGATAATATTTCAAACTCACTTTTCTGAATTGCTTTTAGGTGGAAAGAGGCTCCTTGTTTAAATGACGGTATGGATGATTGAGCATTACTTTCATTTTGCTTTGTGAACAATTTGAACTAAATACTAAGCAGTGTAATACTGTTAATGGTGACTTAGCTTTTCTCTCTGAGGCCTCTGGTATGTTTCCTTGAAAGGAAGAACAGTTTTTTTTTTTTTTTTTTTTTAAACTTTATCTGTTACGGAAGTCTTATTCCTCTATGAAACAAAGATGTCATGGTGTTTTTTGGTGTCGTTGCAATGTTTTTGTTTGTATGTTTGCTTGGTTGTTTATTTTTAGTGAAGTAAAATTTTTTTCAATGTTTTATTGCAGTAAGGAAACAATACTGTAAAAAATTAACACTACTGTGTTTTCCTGAATATAACTTCAAAATATCAACATTGATAGCATAACAGTGGGCTTAGTGTGGATGATTTCAGTGGCTCAGTAAGATTGTAAAGCGTTTTTGAAGAAAGCCTTTTCCTTAAAAAACTAATTTAGAAGCTTAGCGTTTACCACCACACCCTCAAGGAGTCAATGGGACCCTTCAGTGGTAGTTCAGATCAGTCCATTCTATACCACATTCTGATGTATGCCCAGAGCATCTTGTTTAGTCATCACTAGTATTGTTACAAGTGTAAGGAATCTCTGCTCATGCTGCTTTCCTGGCAATGCTCAGATCTGCCAATTCCTTTCACTGCTAGACAAAGATGTGATAAGAAAGCCCTGAAAGTACCATATCCTAACAATTGGAAGCGCTATAATATTGTCTTCAGACTTATCCTGTACTTCAGAAGAAGCTTTGCAAACTTGGACTCAGCAGTTCCATGGGACAGAAAGAAATGGGGAGGAAGGAAGGCAAAATGGAAAGCTGAAGCACTCAAGCTACACAGGGTAGAATGATTATTTTACTACCTGACGAGGGTATGGCAGGTGTTTAAATGTCTGTATGTAGTGCATATTAGCTCTTTTTAGCTTTGATGTGATCTTCCCAATTTAATTTACATGGCATAGCTTCGAAAACAGAGATGATACTGCAGAGCTATCATGGCAGGCTTTCATATGGTGTCAGTTTGGGGTAAAGGAACAAAAAGTTCTATTAATATCTTTCTAGCATTAATCTCTGCAAGATGTCATGAAGAACAGAATTAGAGCAATATGTGGTCTTTGCCATCTTTGACTGTTGTGATTCAAAGACACTTTTGATCACTTTAAAAGAAAATTCAACATCTAAAAAGCACATGAACAAGTAGAATTTCCACAACAATCCAGTTCCTCATTTACATCCCAACAGGGTCAATTTTCAATACATTTCACATAAGAATGAATACACTGTTCTCACGATTGTTTGTGAGTATAGTTCCCCATATCCCATGCTGTAAACATTCCCCACAGTGTTAGATCCATGCTGTGACCAACAATATATGCCCAGTGGGCTAGGCTAGCAACGTCTACTATATGTTTATATTTCTTGCTTGCATTTCTGCAAAGCTTCTTCTTCCACTGCCTTAGTCTGGTGGTATGTGTGTTGCTATAGTTTGGGGGATTGTAAAGCTGTCTGTAAAAGCAATAAGGGAATTCAGCCCTAGGCCTTACAAAGGAAAGATCAAGCATTATACTGCAAGGCCTTTATTTTGCAAATACTTATAGGGTATGCATCAGGACAGGAAAGCTACTCATCAACTTAACGGTTTGTAGAAGCTTTACATAATATGATTGTTTCTTATGTCTCATTCAAGGTGATAACTGTAGCTTTTTTGCTGCTTGGCATTTCACATTATAACAGATTTTCTTTAGCTCTGTTAGTTATCAAAATAATCTGAAGTAGAATTCAGCCTAAAAATTCTTTAAAAATCGTGAAAATAACATCTTGACTCCTCAGAAAAGAAAAATTTTATTTTATGACATGAAAAAAATAGATTATGTGAAATTTCTTTAGAAGAAGGTAAAAGAGAGATATCAGATCCTTTCCAGCCCATTTATGTATGAGTCCGTATTTTTCATGTGGCATTTGGGTTGTTGAATGTTTAATAATGATATACATCTAGTAACTTTAAGAAAGCTGGCTCCAGTGTAGTTTTGTTTTTAAGAGGCTCTAGGAGTGGTTTCAGTTTTCAGGAGTTTAATCTATTGCATTTCAGAGTTTAAATTCTGTTTGACCTGTAGGCATGTTTGTGACTAACCAATTAAATCTCAAGGTTCTATTTCTGCTTCCTAATGTGATTAAGTAGACCCCCTGAAACACAAACAACAGCGTGTGACAACTACATATTGACTTTCAGATAGGCTTTGCATTATGGCCATCTGAAAGTCTGCTTAAAAGATACAGAGAGAAGCCTGAGATAGA